TCTGAGGACACTTAGGATTATAAGAAATACTGCATGAAAGTCAGCCCAATATCTGGTGCGTATAAAGCACCCATTAAATATTGCCTATAATTATCAAACAGGTAGCTATACTGGAAAGCATTTTTCAAATATAAGTAGTGAAAAAATTTTTGCCCAGAGCACTTAGGATTCCATAGAACTTGAGAAATGTTCTGAAGTATACTCAAACTCTACAGAAAAAAGTTGCTGTTTTGGAACTAATCTTTGAAGTGTTACTACTATTTCTAATCAATATTTATGAGACATTTGGGAGACAAAAGGGTAAAAGTTATTTTTTTAATGGATTAAGAGAAGTACACTACCCAATAAAATGTATTAGAACAAAATCTCTACAACTCTCTTATTTATGCCCCAAGAACGTGATCTAGCTTCATGAAAGCACAGATAACAGGATGCCTTACTGTTCTATAAACATCAAAGATGGATCTATTTCCTTTTGAACCTAGTAGCCTAAAGCTCACTTAGTAGTAGACAAGCTCCAGTGCTATACAGATGTTTGTTATCCGCCCCATCATTTACCTCTTTTGGTTAAGTATTTGTATGTACTTAACATTTGCTTTTGAACCAATGTTGAGGATACTAGAGTGTATTATAAATAGGGTTTCTCTTTGGTTTTTAACATTTTCCTACTAAATATATTAAAACAAAATGCTGGCTAGGCACAGTGGCTCACTCCTGTAATCCCAGCACTTTGGGAGGCCAAGGTGGATGGATCACGAGGTCAGGAGTTCGAGACCAGCCTGGCCAACTTGGTAAAATCCCATCTCTACTAAAAATTTAAAAACCAGCCAGGCGTAGTAGTGGGCGCCTGTAATCCCAGCTACTCGGGAGGCTGAGGCAGGAAAATCACTTGAAACCGGGAGGCAGACGTTGCAGTGAGCTGAGATTGTGCCATTGCACTGCATGCAGCCTGGGCAAAAGAGCCAAACTCTGTCAAAAAAAAAAAAAAAAAAGCCTTCTGTAGAAAACACACACACACACAATAGGGAGTTGAGTCAGAGGAAAGATGGCACTGCTATTATGATTAGAGTACATCAGGCGATAGCACTCACTGGATATTCTATTTAAAAAACAAAAAAAAACCCAGCAATTACAATTAAAGGATGATACGCTGTTTACCATGCTTGTAAACATTTTAGCAATAGTGGTATATTAAATAGCAAAATCTGAGTGTCAATCTATTTCCATTTCCATTTCAGCCTGCACTAACTTGTTATATCTATTACATGTGTTCACTGTGGCATTAAGAGGTTAGTTGCCAAATTCTTGGACAGCTTAAGAGCTGAAAGCAGGGGAAAAAAAAAACCAACTGCATGGTTATTAACACTGCTCCATAACTACCCTTTTCCGCCCTGACTTTTCCCATTCTCTCTCCACCTCTCCTTCTCTCCTTACACTACATTTCCACTTCTCTGTCTCTTCCTCTCTCTTTTTTTATACCCTGCCTACCCTGCAGGTCCACCTATGATATCATGTGAACTGCTAAATACCACAGAGGTAGGGTGTGGTGGCTCACGCCTGTAATTCCTGCACATTGGGACACAGAGGTGCGAGAACTGCTTGAGCCCAGGAGTTGGAGACCAGTCTGGGCAACAGAGAGAGACCCTGTCTCTACAAAAACACAAAAATCAGCCAGGCATGGTGCCCTGCCTGTGGTCCCAGCTACTTGAGAGGCTGAGGCAGGAGAACTGCTTGAGCCCAAGAGGTTGAGACCACAGTAGGCCATGATCATGCCACTGCACTCCAGCCCAGATGACACGGTGAGACTCTGCCTCAGAATGAATGAATGAATGAATAAATAAATAAATAAATAAATAAAATTAAAGGGCAGAATATCATACAGAACTGATGGCCAGCCAAGGTGGCTCAAGCCTGTAATCCCGGCAATTTGGGAGGCCGAGGCGGGTGGATCACTTGAGCTCAGGAGTTGGAGATCAGCCTGGGCAACATGGCGAAACTCCGTCTCTACCAAAAATACAAAAAAAAAAACTAGCTAGCTGTGGTGGCACAATCCTGTGGTCCCAGATACTCAGGAGGCTGATGTGGGAGGATCGCCTGAGCCTGAGAGGTAAAGACTGCAGTGAGCTGAGATTGTGCCACCGCACCCCAACCTGGGTGACAGAGTGAGACCCTGTCTCAAACACCACCAAAATAGCAACAACAAAAATATCATACAGAATTGATACGGTAACTACGGAAGAGTGTGAAATTTGGAGGGACTTTAATTCTCAACACTCCTTAGATTTTTAAACAATAATCATATTATTTGGCAATTTAAAAGAGATTTTAAAAATCCTAGAAACTTGACTGTTAGAAATGTCTCCAGTAATTGTCAAGTATCCCCTGGGGGATAAAAATACCCCCAGCTGAAAACCACTGTTAACTCATCAAATCCTCCCAGCTTTAATACCAGCCCATTTCCTCTTATTAATTCCTTCAACACTGCCACTCAGGATCCTTTTCCATACCTTCCTGGCACTAACTGACACAAGTGACATATTATGGGAATATCTTTAACAACGCTGCTTAGAGTAGAATATAGGCTAGATATCTAAAATGGTCTATAACAGAACTGTCCAACAGAAACAAAATTTCTCAGAGCAGTAGGAAAAAACAGGTGAATTTATATTTTTATTGTCTTCAAACTCCAGCTTATATTTTACATTTACAGCATATTTCCACTCATTGGCCACATTTCAGACGCTGTATGTAATGAGCAGCTACCATGTAGGACAATGGAGAAGTATAATATATGTCAGTAAGTATGGGAAGGAGATCAAATACTATGAACCTAATATATAATGAAATAGACTTATAGTATTTTAAGTACTGATTTTTTCAGTGTTGGCTAAAGCAACTTGTCAAATTATATGCCTCCTTGGAAACTCATCAATTATATAAAGACCACTATACCCCAAAGAGCCTGTAATGGGACATTAGTCTTACTGTCCCATCTGATCATAAGGAGGCTGAGATTCCTACAATAAGCACCACTCTTCATGGAGGACCACTTGTAAAATAAAGTGGGTACTGCTCAATGCACGATAAAGTAGAGTTTAGACTTTCTGTATCTAGAAAAATATATACCAACATATTAAAACAATTACATGTAAGTGAAGGGAATTATGAGTAACTTTTACTACCTTTCTCTCTTGATTATCTATTTTGTCATTTTCAAGAAGGGCAGGACCATCCCTGAGCAACTTTTTGGAAATGAGGGGATGAGACAGTGAGTAATGAAAGTAAGTAACCAAGGGTCAGAGACGCCAAAGGCCCTGAAATGCCTGGGTGGTGTCATACAACTAAGAATCAGCCTTTTATGGCCTGAATGTTTGTGTCACCCCAAAATTCATGCCAGTATCATAACTCTCAAGGTTAGGGTATTAGGAAGAAGGGCCTTTTGGGGTAACTAGATCATGAGGGCAGACCCTTCATGATTGCGACTTGTGCTGTTATAAAACAGATCCCAGAGAGCTACCCAGCCCCTTCCACCATGAGACAACACAGAGAAGCCACAGTCTATGAGGAATGAACCCTCACCAGAGACTGAATCTGCCAGCACCTTGAACTCCAACTTCCCAGCCTCCAGAACTATGAGAAATAAATGTTTAGTTTTTGATCCACCCAGTTTCTGGTACTTTTTGTTATGCCATCCCAAACAGGCCAACACATAGCCTTTGCCCCACAAGTATCAACTCTCCCACTGAGCATTCATTTTCATGAATAATCTTTGTAGAACTGAAACCAGTACCTAATTCTGTCATACATGTATTATTGTGTTTTTATGTATACTAAATATTCCACAAACATAACTACTATATAAATCAAGGGCCAATGTTTTTTTTTTTAATTCTACCAAAATTTGTTCATCAATTCAGAATATTCAATCACTGAAGGTAAGAGACCATGTGTGACAACTAAGCCACCAATCCAACACACCAATACCAATCTGTTTTCAAAGATGCTGACGATTATTACCTATAGAGGTGCAAGCATGTACCACTTCATCATGTCTTCTTATAGACTCATGCCCAACTATACTGTAATATATACATAGGGGCTGGTTTTGTTTTTGTTTTTGTTTTTTTGAGTCTTCCTCTGTTGCCCAGGCTGGAGTGCAGTGGTACAATCTCAGCTCACTGCAACCTCCACCTCTCAGGTTCAAGCGATTCTCCCACCTCAGCCTCCCAAGTTTCTGGGATTACAGGTCCACACAACTATGGCCAGCTAATTTTCATATTTTTAGGACAGATGGAGTTTCACCATGTTGGCCATGTTGTTCTCAAACTCTTGACCTCAAGTGATTTGCCTGCCTCAGCCTCCCAAAGTGCTGGGATTACAGACACAAGCCACTGCACCTGGCCTCACATTTGTTTAAACAAATGTTTTATTGTTAATTACAGAATTTTCACTTATTTATCCCTTATATTTATTATTTGTTTATTTATTTATTTTTGAGACAGAGACTTGCTCTGTCACCCAGGCTGGAGTGCAATGGCATGATCTTGGCTCACTGCAACCTTCATCTCCTGGGTTCAAGCAATTCTCCTGCCTCAGCCTCCCAAGTAGCTGGGATTACAGGTGCCCGCCACCACACCCGGCTAATTATTATATTTTAGTGGAGATGGGGTTTCATCATATTGTCCAGGCTAGTCTCAAACTCCTGACCTCAGGTGATCCACCTGCCTTGACCTCCCAAAGTGCTGGGACTACAGGTGTGAGTCACCGTGCCTGGACCTATATTTATTTTACGTAGAAAGTTATATTTAATTTTTAAAAAATAGGTGTCTATAAAAATTCAGATATAATGTATATAAGAATTTTACTTCAAAATAGTCAATAATCACCAAATATTTATTATAAAAAGTGTGTTAAATTTGATAGGATTAAGAAGTAGTTTACAGTAGTCAAAAAAATCACAGAATACTTATCTTAACCCAAAAAGATGGTAAGTCACTTACCTTCCATACTAGGGGAGGGGAAAGCAATCATTATAAGCACAGGAAGAATCATCACTCCATCTATCATTGTACAACTGTGGAGGGAAAAGAAGAGATGTAAGTAAAACACAAACATCTAACTGCAGGATGACAAATTAAGCATACCACCTTCAAACTGCACTCAAGGCCCTTCTTACTAATCACCCTCAGATATATTGCCTTATTTCTTACAACATTTAAACATATACCTTTTATGTGGACCTAAACATATCACCTTAAAGAGTCAGTCATATTCACTTCCAACTAGTAGTCACTCCAGGGGTACTTTCTCAAAGTTTACTCTCTTATAAAGAACTCAATAAGAAAACTAAAAATTTTCAGCTACAAAGTGAGGCAGTCCCAAAAGATTTTAGGTTTCAATTTTATCTTACCCCATTGAATGCACAATTGGCACTAGATTAAATACCCTGAGAAGCATAAATAGACTATTTTTAAATGACATTAAGATTAAGCGACTGAATAATTCAAGTCAAATTATTATGCTAGAGCCTTACTTCTCCTTTAAAAGGACTAGGGGTGGAGCAACCTCCATCAACATACAGACCTAAAGCAAAGAAAACAACAACAACAAAAACCCCATCTAAGGCAAAGCAATGCACTTCTGCATTAAAGAAACTTAACAAGGATAGATAATAACTAAAATCATGTAAAAATTTTTGAAAACTTTTCCATTTGAATAATATGAAATATCAGAAATGTGGTGAGAGTTTGGTCAGTTGCAATTTTCTGGATGGCAAAATAAAGGAAAAGTTGGTAAAGTTCTTTAATGATAGGTTAGCGTGCTTGAACTCTTCCAGCTTTAAAGCAAAGAGCAAAAGCCCATTGCTTTCTAGCATGTCTTAAGTGTTGACCTTTAAAATCAAATTATTTAGTCTTGGTGCAAGGGCTCACACCTGTAATCTCAGCACTTTCAGAGGCCAAGGTGGGAGGATCAGTTGAGCCCAGGAGTTTGAGACCAGCCTGGGCAACACAGTGAGACCTCATCTCTATTTGTTTTTAATCAGTTAAAAAAAATTTTTTAATCAATTTTTTGGCTGGTGGTCTGTTTACAGACCATACCTCCATCATATCTTACCACCCTTCATTTAAATTTATTTCTCTTTGGTTCCATAATTATATTTCAGTCAATTCCTTTCCTAAAAGCAAGGTAAGGGAAGAGGAAAAGGGAACTTTTATGTACCTTCCTTTTCTATTTTTAAAAGCATATGAAACTTGAGCAAGACCCTACTACTACTGTTGTTTTTATTTCCATGTTCACATAGATCTTTCCTATAGTGGGTCCTCTTGGAGACAAACAAATCCTTCTTCTTGGCCCCTCACAACCAGAATGTGACTCCTCCAACACATCTCTGTACCTTTGGACATGAATATGCTTTTTGCTCCCCTCTGCTTGAACTGCCCTGAGCCCCCTCCTCCACCCCTCTCCTACCCCACTGCTGCCTCCTGTCATACATGATACCAGCTCAAAGGTAAGACCTTTGTGAAACACCTCTCCCTCTGCAGTAATTTCAGCCCCTGGCATGGAATCATAATCATCTGTCTAGGGCAGTCTCCAGCACCGGTTCACTCATCTCCACAACAGGTGTGGGCATCCAAGGACCAAGCAAGAGTCATTCATTGAGTTATGGAATGAAAATATGAAGCTGGTTTTTCATCAGAATGTTTTAATCTAATAAAATAGAAAATAACTTGAGACTTAATCTGGTCTCTATCTCAGTTCTATATGACAGTCTAGTACAGGAGGTATTGTTCAGAAAAACTAGGAGTTACATAATAAAGAGTGGGCATTTGTTTATAGAGTACAGTGGTATACTTGTAGTTCTGAAGGTCCGTTTAAGTGGAATTACAGGTTATATTGGCTACTTACAGTGAAAAGAGCCTTCCCAAATGATGCGCGTTCTAAAACCATTAAAGAAACTAGAGATACCATATATTATTAATGCAAGCACCAGAGAAGAGAAAGAAAACGGTGAACTTAAAATCACTCATTTCTATTGGTTCTTCCTTAACCACTTTACTAGAGAAAAGTAGTAATATTCAGTTTAATCTGACATGAAACAGTCTCCCCAAATTCAAAATCTGAAAATATTTGAAAAATGGATTTGCAACCACTGTCATATATAATAAACATTATCGGCCGGCTGTGGTGGCTCACGCCTGTAATCCCAGCACTGTGGGAGGCTGAAGTGGGTGGATCACGAGGTCAGGAGTTCCAGATCAGCCTGACCAACATGGTGAAACCCTGTCTCTACTAAAAACACAAAAATTGGCCAAGCGTGGTGGCACACGCCTGTAGTCCCAGCTACTCAGGAGGCCGAGACAGGAGAATCACTTGAACCTGGGAGGTGGAGGTGGCAGAGAGCCAAGACCGAGCCACTGCACTCCAGTCTGGGCAACAGAGTGAGACTCTGTCTCAAAAAAAAAAAAATATATTATCCAGAGTGGCCTGAGACTTTCACTGATGATAATATGATTCTACTGTCATTAGCAATACCTTAAGTATTTTATTCTTAATTATTTAATTTCTATTTTACCTATGCTTTATAATATGTACTTATTTATTTTATATAAAATGTGTAGCCAATTTACATATTGAGGGTACATCAAAAAAACTTTTTATGGGATATGTCATCACAAACGATTGAACACTGCTGAACTAAATTATTTCTTATCTCAGTCTTTCTGAATTCCCAGTCCTTCATGCATTCAAAAACTACTCAAAAGCCACTGTGCTACATATTAGAAACCTAAAATGACAAATACAAATGTGGCCCTTGCTATCGTGGCACTGACAAAATATGTCTATGGCAGTAATCAAATAATCATCCAAAAGTCTGCATCATTAAAAACTGAATGAAGAGTTGGGAAGAAACAGAACAACTTGAGACCTTCTGGAGGGTGGAGAGGTTCCCTGGGAAGGTAACATCTGAAAAGGAACCAGGAACCAGAAAGATGAGCAGAGGTATGAGGAAAAGGGTGAGTGTGGTGGGGGCTGTGGTGGGAGAGGGTGAACACAGGATACAGATAGGGTAATACTTACGGGAAAAGGCACTTCTGTGGAGGTGCCTGTGGCCAGACCAAGCATGGAGTGTCCTGAGGACTTAAGGCAAACCTCAGGACTGAAAAAACACAAGATTGGCCAGGATACAAAGGGTCTGGAAGAGTTACAAAAAGTTGGAGCACACCCAACAAGGCTAAAGAGGAAGGCAAGGGTCAGAACAGAGGGAAGGCCCTCTAGGCCTTCTACTCACCTATTTTCATTGCCCCCTTGGCTCACACCATCATTCCTTAGTTCCTCAGTCCCCACTATCCATTCTTGTCACCCCCACCAGGCCGCTTTCTGCCTATCTCTGGACGTTTGCACGTGATGCTCCCTTCTTTCAGGGCCCAACCTACTGAATTCCTACTCATCCTATAAGTCTCAGTGGCTTCTCTAAAGGCTATTGCCTTCTAGAAGCCTGCCTAAACACTTAAATACTCTGTGCTCATTCTCATAGACCACTTTAAGTTTCACTCATAGAAATCATCCTAATTAATCATTGTGCCTTCATACCTGTGTGTGCTTTTGAACACCTGTCTCTCTCACTAGACTCTAAATTCCATAGGCACAAAATCTATAGTCCATCTTGTGCATCGTTGCCAGAGCCAAGTAGATGCACATTTAATAACAGTTTAATCAGAATTTTTCCTGAATTAATCAGCTAAATTTAAGATTAAATTCTAAAGAATTAGTAGCACCCCCTCCCCACCACACACACAGAGACCTGCAAAGGAATGGCAAGATTAAGAGATTTATCATCTCTATAACTTTAATCTGTAGAATTTAGCTCAAGTGATAGAAAAAGCCAACAGTTAATAAGCTTCAAAATCAAGACTCCTTTTACTATTTAAACAAAAAAAAATCTAAGAAACAATCACCCCTGGCATATTTTCCATGTCACAAAGCCAGCAAAAGCCTACGTCCTAAATACCTATTAACAGATTATCACTGTGTGAACAAAATTAAAACAATAATTTAGGCTCATAAATAGAAGACAGAAAAAGAATTATAAATTCAGACCCTCAAACAGTAGGGACTAATTCAGTCTCTACTGTTTAAAGACAGCTCAAAATCTGCCAAAAATCTTTGGGAAAAAAGTCAACATTACTTACTGGTTGCCATTTTGTTCAGGGTCTGCAGTGCTTCTCCTGACCAGCTAACTCAGCTATTAAAAACAGTACCCCCGGCCGGGCACGGTGGCTCAAGCCTGTAATCCCAGCACTTTGGGAGGCTGAGGCGGGTGGATCACAAGGTCAACAGATCGAGACCATCCTGGTCAACATGGTGAAACCCCGTCTCTACTAAAAATTACAAAAAATTAGCTGGGCATGGTGGCGCGTGCCTGTAATCCCAGCTACTCGGGAGGCTGAGGCAGGAGAATTGCCTGAACCCAGGAGGCGGAGGTTGCGGTGAGCCGAGATTGCGCCATTGCACTCCAGCCTGGGTAAACAAGAGCGAAAACTCCGTCTCAAAAAAAAAAAAAAAAAAAAACAGTACCCCCAAAAGGAAAGGAAAAAGGCATGCAGAAAAGGGAACGTTCTGCTATCTCCTGACCATATTTCAATTATAAGAAACAGCAATATGCTAAAATCTCACCCTGAAGTCCCAAGGATCTATTTTTAATTTTAAAATACACTAAAAAGAAAATATCATTTTTTTAAAAGTAAAATTTCAACTTTCCTGCTCTCAAATATTTTTGGCTAAGGAGTTTTCATATGTAAGCTGGAAAGAAAGAGAGACTAGTAGTTGAAAATGGGAGTGGCAATAATTCAATAGTTCTGGGATTGCCTTACTCCAGTATTTTCTAAACTTTTTGACCTCAGAATTTCTTTAAACTGTTGAACATTACTGAGAAGTTTGTGTATGCAGGCTACATCTCTTTATATTTATAGTGTTAAAAATTTAAACAGAATTTTTAGAATATTCTATTCATAATAACAACTAACGTACTACCTTTTTTTTTTATTTTAGAAGAGCTATGACGTATTTTTTAAA